AACCCCCATCTCGGTATGCAGGTGGTGGAGTCCCCCTCGGTGTACTGGAGGTTGGTTCTGACTGGTATCACCAGGATTGGAGATCCAGGAGAACACAACCGGAGGGACTGGGTGGACCCTTGGGTGCTCAGCAGGCACATAGGGCTCTTCACCCCTTGCATCTCCCAGTGTATACTCCAGGAAGCGAGGGCAGCATTACTACCTGTCTCTTGTGATTTCCTCAAGTGGGCCTGGTGGGAGGATGCTCTCTGTCCACCCCTCACCTCTGGCCCTCCAGACCGCACCATCAGGCCCCTGCCCCCGCAAGCCTCCCTGGCTGCATCACCTAAGCACGCTGCGTGACCTGTGAACTGCGCCCAAGGAACAGTTGCTCCACACCCATCACTTCCTCACCCTCATGTCTCACCCAAACACCCGGGACCTCCTGCCACCCACGGAGGGTGAGGAATGCCGGTGTATTCCACCTTGTATTCTGTATTCTACCCTGGTCCCACTACACACCCAGGATATTATTTGGCAGCTCTTTCACAGAGCCTTGAGCACGTGTAGTTCAGCACTTCCCTTGACACCTGCTCCTTCTGCGCTGAGGGGGAGATGCTGGCGAACATCTACCTTGAGTGTGCCAGATTGCAGCCCCTTTTCTGGCTCCTCCTGAACCACCTCCTCACACTTGAGCCACACTTTCCCCCTCATCTCCTAATATATGCATACCCCACCTGTGGCCCTATGAAGTTGCGAGACCTCCTCACCTTAACCTCCTCCTGGCGTTGGCCAAACGCCATACCAGGAGGAGAAAGCTAGATGTGCAAATGCTCTGTGGCTGTGGGGCCTATTTCCGTTTGTCCCTGAAGTCACGTCTCCAGGCACAGTTCCTTTGAGGAGCAGTGGGTGCTGTCCAGCATTCTCTGTTTGGTGTCCCCCTCTGGACCCCTGCTTTTGACTCTGTGACCCTCACTCCTGTCCCTGTTTTTTCATTTGTTGTCCCCCACATTCGGTTGAGACCTGGGCCGGGTAGCTCCTCCCCTGAGGCTAGGAGGAGGGGCTGTTGATTGTGGGTGGGCTTCCCCCAGAGCCTCAGTAGGTGCAGCTGCATTGCTATTTTTACCATGAACTAGGGTGGGTATGTCTACTTCAGCTGGAGATTACACCTCCAGCTCCCATATAGACCTACCCAATCACTCTGTGCAGTAATCCAATCACTCTGCAGCTCCAATTTTATTTCACACTGTAGCTGCTCTCACTCAAACTAGTCTAACTCCAGAGGAGTTAGCTCGAGCGAAGGCATAGTCTCAGAGAGCTCCTGTATAAGCAGAGGGATGTTGAGTAGGAGGAGGAAGGTGGAAAGTGAGAGACTGAAGGAGCTCAGTTTATGTAACTTATCAAAGGTAAGGGTGACTGGATCACAGTCTATAAGCACATCCAGGGGGATATTTCTGACAGAGGAGGGCAGATGGAAATGCAATAGCTGGGAGCTAAAGCTATCCAAATTCATGCTAGAAATAAAATGCAAATGTCTAATAGGAGGTGAATTAAACAATTGGAATAACTAACCCCAGGATAGGGTGGATTCTCTATCACTTGGAGACTTTTTATCAATGACTAGATGTCATAGTTTAAACAGAAGTGATGGTAAATAACTGGCCTGTGCTAGGCAGGTCAGACTAGATAATCATTATGGTTGCTTTTGGCCTTAAAATTGATAGCTATGAATGGTCAGCCCCAGGGGTTCAAAAATCATGAGTCAGGCTCCCATAAAACCATGAGATTAAAAAAAAAGAATGTTTGGGAGTTCTCATGTTTTAGCTTTTTGCATTTTTCAGTTTTTCTCTGCAACCACAAGGGCTAGAAACTGACTTTAAAAAAAAAAGGCTATCATTTTCACAGAATAACGACTCCAGAAGCTGGTGCTTATAACGGATCACAAATTGATTATGGGTGAAGAATGCGATGCAGTTGCAAAAAAGACCAATGTCATTCTGGGGTGTATTAGTAGGAGTGTTGTATGTAAGACATGGGAGGTAATTGCTCCATTCTGCTTGACCCTTGTGGGGTCTAAGTTGGAGTACTCTGTCCAGTCTTTAAGAAAGAAGTGGACAAATTGAAGAATCCAGAGAGCAAAAAAAATTATCAGAGCGTTAGAAAATATGACCTGTGAGGAAATGTTGAAAGAATTTGACATGTTTAGAGAGGACTGAGAGGGGACACAACAACAGTCTTCAAACATGTAAAAGTTTATAAAGAGGACGGTGTCATCTGTTCTCCACGTGTGCCAAGGGTAGGACAAGAAGGAATCGGGTTAATCGGCAGCAAGGGAGATTAAGATTAGCTAGAAGGGAAAATGTTCTAACTTTAAGTACTGGAACAGGTTACTGAGGAAGGTTATGGAATCACTGTATCGGGGGTAGCCGTGTTAGTCTGTATCCACAAAAATAACAAGGAGTCCGATGGCACCTTAAAGACTAACAGATTTATTTGAGCATAAGCTTTTGTGGGTAAAAATCCCACCTCTTCAGATGCATGGAGTGAAAATTACAGATGCAGACATAAATATACTGACACATGAAGAGAAGGAAGTTACCTCACAAGTGGAGAACCAGTGTTGACAGGGCCAATTCGATCAGGGTGGATGTAGTCCACTCCCAACAATAGATGAGGAGGTGTCAATTCCAGGAGAGGCAAAACTGTTTCTGTGATGAGCCAGCCACTCCCAGTCCCTATTCAAGCCCAAATTAATGGTGTTAAATTTGCAAACACCTACAAGATCTTTACCAAACCTTCTTAAAACTACAATACCCACCTGGGGAAGTGAGGAAACAGATTGACAGAGTGAGACGGGTACCCAGAAATCACCTACTACAGGACAGGCCCCACAAGGAAAATAACAGAACACCATTGGCCATCACGTACAGCCCCCAGCTAAAACCTCTTCAACACATTAGCAACGATCTACAATCTATCCTGGAAAACGATCCCTCGCTCTCCCAGACCTTGGAAGACAGGCCAGTCCTCGCTTAGACAGACCCCCAACCTGAAGTAAATACTCACCAGCAACTACACACCACAGAAACACTAACTGAGGAACCAATCCCTGTAGCAAACCTCGTTGGCTACTCTATCCCCATATCTACTCTAGCGACACCACCAGAGGACCCAACCACATCATCAGAGGCGTTCTATATGCCATCATGTGCCCCTCTGCCATGTACATTGGCCAAACCGGACGGTCCCTACGTAAAAGAATAAATGGACACAAAGTGGACATCAGGAACGGTAACACACAAAAGCCAGAGGGAGAACACTTCAATCTTCCAGGACATTCTGTAACAGATTTGAAAGTAGCTATAATTGAACAAAAAAAACTTCAGAAACAGACTTCAAAGAGAAACAGCAGGACTAAAATTCATTTGCAAATTTAACACAATTAATTTGGGCTTGAATAGGGACTAGGAGTGGCTGGCTCATCACAGAAGCAGCTTTGCCTCTCCTGGAATTGACACCCCCTCATCTATTGTTGGGAGCGGACTACATCCACCCTGACTGAAGTGGCCCTGTCAGCACTGGTTCTCCACTTGTGAGGTAACTTCCTTCTCTTCATGTGTCAGTATATTTATGTCTGCATCTGTAATTTTCACTCCATGCATCTGAAGAGGTGGGATTTTTACCCACGAAAATAAACCTGTCAGTCTTTAAGGTGCCACCGGACTCCTGATTGTCTTTATAGAATCACTGTCATTGAAGGATTTTAAGAACAGGTTAGACAAACACCTGCCCGGGGTGGTCTAAGTATACTTAATCCTGCCTCAGCATGGGGGGCAGGACTAGATGACCTCTAGAGGTTCTTTCCATCCCTACATTTCTATGATTGTTTTCTTAAAATGAGTTGCAGTTACTACTTCCAGTGCAGCTCCAATCGCGGCAGCACCAGTGTACACTGGCTTCAGGTTTAGATGACACAGTGATTAAAATGCTAATGCCTGTCACCACCCATCCCTGCAAAAACTACTGGAATACCATGTCCAGTTCAGGTGCCCACAATTCAAGAAGGATATTGATAAACCGGAAAAGGGTTAAAAGAAGAACCACAAGAATGATTAAAGGATTAGAAAACATGCCTTATAGCAGGGGTCTCAAACTGGAGGTCAGGACCCCTCAGGGGGTCGCAAGGTCATTACATGGGGATCACGAGCTGTCAGCATCCACTCCAAACCCCACTTTGCCTCCAGTATTTATAATCGTGTTACCTAAATAAAAAGGTGTTTTTAATTTATAAGGGGGGGGGGTCGCACTCAGAGGCTTACTATATGAAAGGGGTCACCAGCACAAAGTTTGAGAACCACTGCCTTATGGTGATAGACTTAAGGAGCTCAATCTTTTTAGCTTAACAAAGAGAAGGTTAAGGGGTGACTTGATTACAATCTATAAGTACCTATATGGGGAACTATTTATTAGTGGGCTCTACAATCTATCAGAGAAAGGTCTAACACCATCCAACGTCTGGAACTTGAAGCAAGACAAATTCACACTGGAAATATGGCATGAATTTTTAAGAGAGAGAAAATTAAGTTTACCAAGGGTTGTGGTGGATTCTCCGTCACTGACTATTTTTAAATCAAGATTGGATGTTTTTATAAAAGCTCTGCTGGAGGAATTATTTCAGGGAAGTTGTATGGCTTGTGTTAAACAGGAGGTCAGACTAGATGATCATAATGGTCCCTTCTGGCCTTAGAATCTATGAAATGTAGGGAATTTTAAGAAAAATATTCTAGCCTTGACAAGGTAGGATGGAAAGAGCTGTAAAGCCAGTCTATGAGCAAATGCCTTTGGACCTTAGACTAAATATTGCCCCCTGAAAAGAGCAGCTGCATCTTCAGTGATCACAGGAAAAACTTTTGTGGGAACACAGATGGAGAACCCATAATAAATCCCAGCTGGAGGCTAGACAGACACACAACTGTTATAAGACACGGCATCTGAAATGGGACACTAGGATGGAAAATGGGTATGCTGGAGCAGGTTTTATTTCATATGGAGAGACACTGCAATACAACAGGAAATAACAGATATTAAATCTTAAATATTAATAACAGTATTAAAAGAAAATTTAAAAAAATGGGACTAAAATCTAGGTATCCAAGAGGAACTAAAATCCTGGGATGGAGTCTGGCCAGAACAGACAAAAAGAGGGAACAAATGCTAGGGAGCTGCCCATGGGACTGAAATGGCCTGCATTCTGTCTCCCACTGTCTATGTAGACAGCCTGTCCATATGAGGTTGAAAGAATGCATAAGTTAGACCCCCTTAGACTTGCCTTATTACAGGTTCCTTAGCTCTTGTGGCAAGTGGGATCATCTCCTGGATATTGCAACAGGCGAGGCTGGGGCAGGCAGCCGCTGCTGGCAGTATGAAGAAGTCTAACTCCTGGGGAGGGTTTCTAGTCTTTGGCATTGTACACTCAGTAATTTCTCCCCTATTAAGTGTCTTGCTGGCCCCATGCTGTTTACTGCAGCGTTGGGAGCTTGCTCAGGAAACAGACACGTTGGCCCGGCCCATGTTCAGGGTTTCTGTGCTAGGTGGGTTCTCTGGTGCTCTATGAGGTTGGAGCTCCAGCTGAAGCTCTTCCCACAGTCACTGCATTGGTAGGGGCGCTCCCCCGTGTGGATGCGCTGGTGCTGGGCAAGGTTGGAGCTCTGGGTGAAGCTCTTCCCGCAGTCAGAGCACTTGTAGGGGCGCTCACCTGTGTGGGTGCCCTGGTGCCGGATGAGGTGGGAGCTCTGGCAGAAGCTCTTGTCACAGATGGTGCAGCGGTAGGGCCGCTCTCCAGTGTGGGTGCGCTGGTGGCTGACCAGGTGGGAGCTTTTGCAGAAGCTCTTCTCGCAGTCAGGGCACTGGTAGGGGCGCTCGCCCGCGTGGCTCAGCCGGTGGCTCAACAGCTTTGCGCTCTCCCCAAAGGTCTTTCCGCACTGGGGACATCGGTAGGGCTGGTCACCTGCATGGCTGAGCTGGTGCCGGGTGAGGTGGGCACTGACCCCAAACCCCTTTCCACAGTCCCCGCACTTGTAGGGTCTGTCACCCGTGTGAATGCGCTGGTGCTGCACCAGATACGAGCTGCGCCCGAAGCTTCTACCACACTCCCCACACTTGTAGGGCTTCACTGCCACATCAGCTCGTGGCTGGCTGCCGGCAATGCGGGAGAAGCGTGTCTCACAGTCAGCACAGTGATGTGGTCGTGGCCTCTGCTGGATGCTCTGGGTAAAGCTCTTCCCACAGCTGGTACACGTGCAGGCCAACTCTCCAGCGGCATGGGTGCCCTGGTGCCGGATGAGGTGGGAGCTCTTGTTGAAGCTCTTCCCGCACTGTGTGCACTTGTAGGGTCTCAGCCCCTTGTGGATGCGCCGGTGCTGGATGAGCGCAGAGCTGCGGGTGAAGCTCTTCCCACAGTCGGGACACTTGTCTGGCCGCTCGCCTGTGTGCACGCGCTGGTGCTCAATGAGGTTGGAGCTCCAGCTGAAGCTCTTCCCACACTCTCCGCACTTGTAGGGGCGCTCGCCCGTGTGGATGCGCTGGTGTTGCACGAGGTTGGAGTTCTGGCTGAAGCTCTTCCCGCAGTCAGGGCACTTGTAGGGGCGCTCGCCCGTGTGGGTGCCCTGGTGGCGCAGGAGGTGGGAGCTCTGGCTGAAGCTCTTGTTGCAGTTGGTGCACTTGTAGGGCTTGACACCCTGGTGCACACGCTGGTGCTCCGTCAGGTGGGAGCTCTGGGTGAAGCTTTTGTCACAGTCGAGGCACTGGTAGGGGCGCTCGCCTGTGTGCACCCGCTGGTGCTGGGCGAGGTTGGAGTTCTGGGTGAAGCTCTTCCCACAGTCAGAGCACTTGTAGGGGCGCTCGCCCGTGTGGGTGCCCTGGTGCCGGATGAGGTGGGAGCTCTGGCTGAAGCTCTTGTTGCAGTCAGTGCAGTTGTAGCGTTTCTCCTTGGATTGGAGCCCTCTCTCCCAGGGCGGGGATCTGCCCAGCGGCTGCTGCTCTCTGTCATTGCCCCCCAGCAACTCTGACCCGCCAGGACTCTCTGAGCCCACTTCCCGGGGGATGTACCCTTTGGGTCTACTCCCTTCCTCAGGACATCCCTGCAGAGGGCTCTCCACCTCCTTCTCACTCATGTTCCCATCTGCTGGAATAAAAGAGAATCCAGGCATCACTCACTCACTTGCCCCCTGGGTTGGGAGGAAAGAAGAGCTGCAACACAAGAATTTTTGAGGGCAAAAATTGGAAAGGGGAATGTGCAAAAAAGGTTTGCTGTTGGACCTAACAGAGAGCACTGTCACTTTAAGGGCATGCTTATTACAGGGCCTCTGTCTCTTTAAAGCCAGGCATTCTGGCAATTGTTGGGTCTAGGGCTCAGTCATAGTTGGCTGAAAGCAAGGCCTGCTGGGATTAGACAGATAAAAAGCCAAGCTGCTGTAGTAGTAGAGAAAGGGCTCTTTTCTGGGGTGAGCAGCTATGGGTGTTAGGTCTTTTCTGGCCTGAGCTTGGAGAAGGAACCTGTCTGGAACTATGAGCGTAGGCTGATGAGAAAGCTAAGAATTCCCTGCAGCTCAGCAAAGTGAAAGGGCTGTCATCAGAGTCCAGTGGGAGGGCTAAGGGGAGCCTCTGTAGCTGAGAGGTGAAGGCCACTGTGATCCAAAGGAGGCTGGACTGTCTGCAGACTGTAGTCTAGAAGCATAAGGATAAAGTGTGGCTGGAATTGGGGGAGGGTGTCCTGTGCCAAGTATTGGTATCTTTTGGGCCATTAATAAAACCAAGACCTGGGAAGTCAGGCTACTTTGGAACTACAGCTGAGGGGGTGTGTGTGACACAATGTTGCCAACTCCAGTGACCTCTATTGTGTGATATTTGGTGTCAGCCCTACTGGCTGGAATTAAGAGATTGCATGAGAATTTCCGCTTTAATTCTTCAGAGAGGTTTCCTGCATTCCTGGCTGCAAAGAACTGCTTGAAAATGTGAGTGCTTGTGTGCATCCTGAAGCTCAAAACCAATAAGGCAGATAAACCTGGTTTTGTTTTCTTAAATCTCATGTTTTTTAAGTCATTCGTGGTATTTTTTTTTGGGGGGGGGGGGGGGGGGGGGGGAAGCTGACAGTTTTTGAATACTTGTAGTTGGGGATAACAACAGTCACTGATGGAGGGTGGGGGGAAACTGAGGCACAACTGTACCCCCGATGAAGGAGTGAGTTGAACCTCCTACACAAACAGACCAAGCACTGTGTTACCCAAACATGTCTAGAGGGGAAAGGCAAGGAAAGCCGATGAGCAGTTGAAGTAAAACAGAGTGCATAGATGAAGTGAGGGACAACCGCCAAAAATCCAGCTGGGATTGATAAAACTAGAGCGTCTCCCCTCCAGCTCGCCCCATAAAAGATCTCCTTCTCCCATTACTACAGTGGCTTGGCTTTTATAGCCTTCTCATCTCAGCAGGTCTTGCTCTCAGCCTGTCAACACATGAGCTATAGGTACTACAAGTCCCAGAACACCTGGGGACAGAGCACCTGTAACATGAGTGCTCTTAAAGGCTGAAGAGCAAAACTTTCTTGCAAATTCCTCTTTCCCCCCTCCCCCCCGCCACAAACAGTCTGTTTTGCAGTTCCTCTTTCCTCCCAGTCATCAGTGGGTAGATTAAAAAAATCTAGCATTTCAACAAAGGCATCAAAGAAAAGTTTATGCTTGATCTTGTTTTAATATTACCTCTCCCTGTGCTGCCATGGAGTGAGCTGGCTGGCTTACAAGGCAGAATGGGGTGAGAGGCTGCTGGGCTGTGCACCCCCAGAATTAGTTTGGGATACCCTGCTGGGCTGTGCATGCTTCTCCCCATGTGGCCCTGGAGTTGGCTGGGTTGTGCTGGGGGAACCCTACTGGGCTGTGCATTTACTGCCCCCCAGCATTCTCCCATACAGCTAGCTGATTGGGTTGCAGGGGAGAGCCCTGCTGGACTGTACATTTCCCCCACCCTTTCCCCATGCTGCCTTGGAGTTGGCTGAGTTGTTGGACCTAGCTAGGCTGTGCATCCCCACATCACCCCTGGTGCTGCAGGGCAGTGCACACCCCTGTGCGGCCCTGGGGCTGGCTGGGTTGGGGGCCACTGGAGGGCGTTGCAACCCCCGTGCAAGGTGGGTGTGGGGGGGGTCCCTGTAAGGCAGTGAAACCCCTGTGCTGCCCTCAGGCTAGCTAGGTTGGGGGGTCCCTGCAGGGCACTGCACCCCCATGATGCCCTGAGGCTGACTGGGTTAGGGGTCCCTGTGGAACAGTGTACCCCTCAACTCACCCCATGCAGGCGGTGCAGGGAGCCCCTCAGCCTGGCCCCACTTCGGGAGAAGTCCCTCGTTAACACAGGGCACTTCTGAGCCTCTCTAGCCGCTGGAGGATTAAGCAGCTCTGCGGTTGTATCGCTCCCATTCCCAGCTGCATGTGGGGCCGGACCAATCCACATGCCCTGTTCCTGCAGGACAGCCTGGGTCGCTTGCCCATCACAGCCAGGGCTAGCAATCCAGCCACTTTATCACAGTAGCAATACTGGGGGGTTTCCCTTGCTGCCTGGGCCTTTAAGGGTGTGTTTAGGGCTGGTTCTCCAGCGCTTCTCAGCCAACGCCAGGGCCAGACACTCACTTGGGTTAAAGTAAAATCTGCGATTTCTCTGTGATCACTGGACTCCAGGAGCTGGGGCTTGAAGAAGAGCCACAGAAGTCACCAGTGTCAAAATGTGACCCCCTAAACGCTTAGTGAGGCAAGTAAAAGAACCCCAGGATAATTAGTTAAAGAATAACAAGACTTTTAAAATAATCTCTTGATTTTGGAATGTGTGGCTGACTTTTGAAAAAGATGGCTTTAGGTAGTCTTTAGAGTTCAGGGCTGTTGTTGGGTGTGTTTCCCCCCACTCAGAACCATTTAGTTATGGCTTCCCCACTGCAGCATTTCTCATTCCATAAAGGGGTGGAGGGGGAATCCAGCCACAGACTAGAAATGTTTTTAAAAATAAAAGTTTATATTGCTCTCAAGAAATTTGTGTTCTTCCTCTCCTGTCTTACATGACAAATACACTAGTTAAAAATTGTAGGGATTTAGCATTAAGGTGGATTTTATGATTGCATGCAAGTTAACCAGTGACATAACTTTTATAACATGTCACACGTGGAGCAGTACCAAATTTGGCAGCTGTTGAGATAGTCTGTGCTTTGGAGAGCTTACAAGTGAAGACCCTGATCCTGCCAAAACTTCCCACACTGTGTAGGCTGAAAATTGAGCATTTGCATAAATCTTGGTAGAATCAGAGCTTAAACAAATAGACAATTCATTAAGGGAAGGGATCTTGCATACCATCAGGGTGATGGTTTGCAAATGTCAAGTTAGAACCATGATGTTTTGTGTCTTGCTTAGAGACCCAAAACTGAGACTGGATCACCCAGCACAATGGGTCCCTAAATAGCTTGGAGTAAAAATAGGGTTGGTTGGGTTATAATCCAGTACTGGGTAGTTTTTGCTCTTGTCATAAATTAAAGGGAAGGGTAACCACCTTTCTGTATACAGTGCTATAAAATCCCTCCTGGCCAGAGGCAAAATCCCTGCACCTGTAAAGGGTTAAGAAGCTAAGGTAACCTCGCTGGCAACTGACCCAAAATGACCAATGAGGGGACAAGGATACTTTGAAATTGGGCAGGGGGAAGGCTTGTGTGTGTCTGTCTGTGTGATGCCTCTGCCGCGGACAGATCAAGAAAGGAAGCAGTTCAACTCCTATAAAGTTAGGAAGTAATCTAGCTAGAAAATGAGTTAGATTTTCTTTTGTTTTTTGACTTGTGAAATTCATTGTGCTGGAAGGAATATGTATTCCTGTTTTTGGGTGGGAAGTGATTTTTGGAGTCTATTGTGTGGTGGCAGGAATTGGTTTTCCAGAGGGAAAGAGAATTGGGGGAACTATATTTGGGGTGGGATGGTTCTTTGAACAGGGAGAGAACAGATTGTGGGATGGGAGGGAAGAGCGTTGTGTAGTGAGGAGGCTAGCCTGTGGGGTACCATTCACAAATCACCTCTTATCCTTTGACTCAGCCCCAGTGTTGTGGTGGAGGAAATAATCATAACTGGTTGCGGCTGGGGGCCCTGAGGAAGGCTGGGTGGCGGAGATGGGCTCATTGGCCCTCTGAGTTTTTCAGTGGGCCTGCAAGACCCAGTGGTAGCAGGACTGATAGGTAGAGGGGTCGTGCATGAACTTAAAGATGCTGGGAAGTTGCTTCAGTGGGAAGCTCCAGGGCATGATGCAGGCATGTTTATTTTGTTTGGGCTTCTGTTGCAGTGTAGGGAACAAAACAAGAACCATGCTGCAGGTGACACACTGCTGGGGACAGCAGCTGGCTTAGTGGAACTTCCCTGATAACACTTCCACATAGCACTTGATTTTATCAATAAAGGGTAGCCCCCTGGCTCCCAGCCCAGCCACAGCTCCACCGCCAGCCATGGCTCCACTTGTGGCCCTGTGTCCAACCCCAGCACTGGCCCCACTCCCAGTCTGTTTTTTTTATTTTGGGAGGGGTGGGGGTGGAAGAGGAGAGGAGGATGTGGACAGGGGTAAGAGGGGAGTGTGAGGTAAAAAGTTTGGGGACCACTCATCTAGGTTGCATTTCCCTAGTTTGTTTATGAGATAGTCATGCGAGATAGTATCAGAAACCTTACTAAAGTCCAGATATACCACATCTACCACTTCCCCCCCATCCACAAGGCTTGTTACCCTGTCAAAGAAAACTCTTAGTTTGGCTTGACATGATTTGTTCTTGACAAACCCATGTTGACTGTTACTTATTAGCTTATTGTCTTCTAGGTGTTTGCAAATGATTGCTTATTTACTCCATTATCTTCCCAGGTACTGAAGTTAAGCTGACTGGTCTGTAATTCCCCAGGTTGTCCCTATTTCCCTTTTTTATAGATTGGGACTAGATTTGCCCTTTTCCAGTCCTCTGGAATCTCACCCGTCTTCCATGACTTTTTGAAGATAATCATTAGTGGCTCCGATATCTCTGCAGTCAGCTCCTTGAGTATTCTAGGATGTATTTCATCAGGCCCTGGTGACTTGAAGACACCTAACTTGAGTAAGTAATTTTTAACTTGTTCTTTCCATAATTTAGCCTCTGCTCCTACCTCATTTTCACTGGCATTCACTATGTTAGACGTCCAATCACCACCAACCTTCTTGGTGAAAACTGAAACAAAAAAAGTCACTTAGCACTTCTGCCATTTCCACATTTTCAGTTATTGTCTTCCCCCTCATTGAGCCTACCCAGTCCTTGATCTTCCTCTTGCTTTTAAATGTATTTGTAGAATGTTTTTTGATACCCTTTGTTGTTAGCTAGTTGAATCTCATTTTGTGCCTTGGCCTACATACTTGTGTTATTTGTTTATATTCATCCTTTGTAATTGGACCTAGTTTCCACTTTTTGTAACACTCTCTTCTGAGTTTCAGGTCATTGAAGATCTCCTGGTTAAGCCAGGGTGGTCTCTTGCCATACTTCCTATCTTTCCTACACAGTGGGATAGTTTGCTCTTGTGCCCTTAATAAGGTCTCTTTGAAAATCTGCCAACTCTCTTGAACTGTTTTTTCCCCTTAGACTTGTGTCCCATGGGATCTTACCTATCAATTCCCTGAGTTTGCCAAAGTCTGCCTTCTTGAAATCCATTATCTTTATTGTGCTGTTTTCCCTCCTACCATTACTTAGAATCAAGAACTCTGCCATTTCACGATCACTTTCACCCAAGCTGCCTTCCACTTACAGAGAGGAACTGGTTGAGAATTTGTGTCAAAATCAAATCTAGAACAGCCTCTCTCCTGGTAGGTTTCTCCACCTTCTGAAATAAAAATTGTCTGCAATACATTCCAAGAACTTGCTGGATAATCTGTGCCCAGTGCTGTGTTTTCCCCCCCTCAACAGATGTCTGGGTACTTGAAGTCTCCCAAAACCATCAAGTCCTGTGCTTTGGATGATTTTGTTACTTGTTTAAAAAAAGCCTCATCCACCTCTTCTTCCTGGTTCGGTGGTCTGTAGTAGACCCCTATCATGACATCACCCTTGTTTTTTTACCCTTTATCCTTACCCAGAGACTTTCAACAGGTCTGTCTTAATGGCTATTAGCCAGGATGGGTAAGGAATGGTGTCCCTAGCCTCTGTTTGTCAGAGGGTGGAGATGGATGGCAGGAGAGAGCTCACTTGATCATTACCTGTTAGGTTCACTCCCTCTGGGGCACCTGGCATTGGCCACTGTCAGCAGACAGGATAATGGGCTGGATGGACCTTTGGTCTGACCCAGTATGGCCATTCTTATGTCTCCTATTTCCATCACAACCTCAGTACAAGTGTATATATTTTAAAACAACATCTCCTATCTTTTTTCCCTGAGAAAGCTGTACCCTGGTATACCAATATTCCACCAAGTCTCTATGATGCCAGCTATGTCATAGCTGTGTTTATTAACTACCATTTCAAGTTCCTGCTTATTCCCCATAATTCTCGTATTCATATACATACGTCTAAGATAGTGATTTGATTTGCCCCGTGTTTTCTCTTGTCTCTTCCTTATCCCTGCTCCCTCCCAGCCAGAAATGAGGACAATGCACTATAGCTTTTAATAATACAATATAAAATGAAGGCACAGGAAAGCCCTGTGGTTTATTATAACAGACATGATCTGAATGACCCCATCATCCTGAGGAGTCTAGGACCTTCTTGTCCTGAAGATTGCTATAATTCAGGATCAAGAACAATATCAGGCTGGAAGGACTTTGAGAATTCATCATGTCCAGCCCCCTGTGCTGAGGCAGGACCAGCTAAACAGACAGCATCCCTGACAGGTGTTTGTCTAACCTGTTCTTAAAAACAGACTATTAGAAGAGAACTCAGAGCTCTTTCCATTCCAATCCATAGCTCTGTCACCACCCTATATTGCAGGACTCTGATCTGTAAACGGATCAAGGAGGCACCAGTAGGGAACAGCAGGATTTACTGGCCAGGTTTCCATGGTCTTTCAACTGGAAACAGAGCAGTGCTTCAGAGATTCTTCTGGTCTCCTAGAGAGCTCCGCTAAGTGGGGCATCCCAGACACCAGTTCCCCGGGAAATCCACTGAGTGGCAGATCCCCACCCCCAAGCTCTGCTACATCATCAGGAAGACTGGTGACTTAGGGCCTCACCTAGATATAAGGGCTTTGTATTAGTCTGTGATGTTTTTCTGTTTGGTTCTAGATCCAGGCTCTGCACTGTCCTCCTTACCTGACGGATGTGTTCTGGGCACTCACCAGGAAAGGAGGTGCACTCCTGTCTTGCGATGGAGGCGTTGAAAGCTTTCTTGATCTCTGCAGGTAGGTGGCATGGGTTGACAAGAGCGTTGAGTCTCTTGTGTTTGGGCGCCCTGCACCTCTGACTTGTGCTCTACCCTTTGATGGGTACAATAGCCTCAGACACAGCGGGACTGATGCACTCTTCCCTGCTGGCTGTGGAATAGGGACAAATCCACATTCGTTCCAATTTCCTTTTCTGCATGCGAGGAACAGTGCTGTGCTTCCAGGGACAGGGCTCCAAGTGCTGCGAGTCTCCTAGCCAAGGAGAGACCCCGTAAGTAACAGTTCCCAGAAGAATAGTTTGCTCAGTAACCCCAGGGATTAGCCCCATGCATGTATGGAGGGGGCAGGGGAGGTAGATTAAGCACTTCCTCAGGGTGGCTTCATTAGTCTCCTAGTGGAAAGAAAATTTACCTTCTGCCTGTAGACTCCAAGGTGCTGAACAGAGCTTCTCCCAGGCCCTTTGATGGTAGCACCACTGTAGGGACAGATGTTCCCTCCACGGCCCCTCACAATCTTCTCTAACTATTTATTTAGGAAGGTTTAACAGGTTTACAAATCTCTGCCATGTAAACGTTGGAGACAAAATAGTCATTACAACAGTGAGCTCTTCTTTAGAGCAACCTAGTCATACAATAAATCAGCTCTATTTCACAGGGTGCTACCACTTTACAATGCCCACAACACACGGGTTCTGAGATTTTATCACAGAGAGTGAAATCTGATTGCACATATCGAACAAGCCAGGCCTATCAAATAGTAATATTCAAAAAAATTGGACAGGTGCACTGATATTTTGCAGGAGAATGTACTTTGAGTATTGAATAAAGGTAACCAAATATCTAAGTTCCTTTGTTTTGCCGAGTATGTAATTGGTGCATTAATTTTTCCATAACAACCTGCCACATTTTTTGAACCATTCCTCTAGAGTTGGACTATTTTTTTTTCCTGCTAGGAGGCTAGCAGTAGCTTAGCAGCTACTAGCAGATGAGATTAATTCTTCATTCTGTTTGAGTGACCATTTTTTGCTAGAAGGATTACCGGAGGATCCTTTAGAATAGATATCCAACAGTTTGTGAAGTTTGGTTATGAATTGTATCCCAATGCTCTAACAGCTGGGCACATCCACTGTATATATATATACACAATCTCCTCTTTCATCGCGGTTTTTCCAACATTTATCCCCATTTAGTATCTCACCGATGTGAGGCACCATTGAAGCAGTATCTTAAGACATTTTTTTGTATCATGTTACAGTTGCTGCTCCTCTCTTCCAAATCAAACCCCGTTTCTCTGGGGTAATTTGTCAGTCCAAATCCTTTTCCTAGCATGTCAGATACGGACTTTTTTTTTTTTGTTAAGAAAGTGGTCTGCAAAGATTGATTTGTTTTAATTCTTTTATTTCCTAACTACCAGATGCCATTGCTTCTATGAAAGTTTTCTTTTAAAACAAAAAGCTCTCTTTTCTAGAACGGTGAGAAACATAATGTTTAACCTAAAGGTACTGGTACCATGGGAGAGTGGGTCAGTTAAAATTGTGATCTCTGAATAAATTAGAAATGTTCCTCACAGAATACACCTCACACTCTAATGTTCTTATCGTCTCCTCACCCCTTTGTACATATGGGGAACTGAGGCACAGAGAGAAGTGACTTGTCTGAGGTCACACAGGAAACTCATAGCAGAGGTGGGAATTGAACCCAGGTCTCCCAAGTCCTTAGCTCATGCCTCAATCATTGGCCCATCTTGCCTCCTACCAGGGCCTTAGCTGGAGACACTTGGGCTTGCTACGCCAGCTCCTGGAACTTGTCCTAGTTGAGAGACAGTGCTGTTGGCTGACTCTTCTAGATGCCAGAAGAGCAGAAATAGGCTTCTCTGGCTATTCCTCAGTCCTTCGTCTCCTTCCAAATGCCAGGCAGCTCAACTTTGCCTTTCTGGATTGTCCTAGTGAGCTGGTTCTTGCAATAATGGAACCTCTCTGTGAAGAAGGAAGACAGGAGGGCCTGATGCAAGGTTGATCAAGCCAGAGAAATCCTGTCTCCTTGGTCAATAAAGAGCTTACCCAGACTTACCCTTGCTCTCCCCTCCCTGATCTTCTGGAGGATCTGGGACAGCATAAACACTGGATGGAAGGGATACCAATAACTCTGGCTGTACCTGAGACAGAACAGGAGCACTGGATGCTGTGAGATCTCACCTCCTGGAGATGAATATCTCATGGACGCAAATGGATACATTTAGCCAAAGCACTGGGCAAAGGAGCTAGAGCCCACTGACTGATTGCTCAAGCCTATCTGCTTTGGTACTCAGCTTCCCTTTTAGGGTGCAGAGAAGTACAGATGATCTCTGCCTGAACAGGGGGGAGAGGATACTTGGTTCCTCCTTGCTCACTGATCTGTGGCATGGCCAATGTGTTCTGCAGTAACAATGTGAGGACTCAGATGCCGTTCTTAATGTAAGCTGTACTTTGTTCTAATGTCTTTTGTAGTTTAAGAATATTTAATAGCATTAGAAGGTAGTAGACAGAGCACTTACCTAGGAGTCAGGATACCTCAGATCTATTCCTGATCTACCACTGACCTAGAATATCTTTGGGGAAGTCACAATCTCTCTCACCTTCCCTCTGTCTTGTCCCTTTAACTCTGATCTTAAATGGGGACCTTAAGTGATACTCTAACACAAGTAGTAAAACAATGACACTGTTAGAAAGCTCACCTTACTGTATATTTTGACAAAATAACTAGTTGATTGAAAAGTGGGAAAAATCATGATTTTTTTTGGTTTTTACAAAAATAAGTTTTCCAGCTAGCTCTGAAGATAGTGAAAAGGTCAAAATCCTTTGTAAAACACCGACTACAGTTTAAACTACCAGTCAGTAATACCAAAAAAAAAAAAAAACAAACAAACAAAAAACAAACAAAAAAACTACACCACTATACTGTTCTGCTAGTCAGTCTTTGTGGAGTGGAGAGGGCTTCCTTGTGCTAATTAAAGCGTACAGATTAGGGAGATTCTCCCACTTAGCTGGGCATCACACTCTAGTCTGAGCACAGTGAGCATGGCCTCTGGAAAAAGACAAGTATTTATAAAGGGAGACCTGTTTCAAGTTTCGGCCTAAATGCAGACACACTGCCATTTTGTGTGTCTTTCAGGCACAAGAACTAGAAATTCAGTCTTCTGGCATGCTAGGACAGCACTTTAATCTTCAGTGCCATTTCATAGCGAAGTGATAGACAGAAAGACTGAAGGAAAACAGATAGTGGATACAAACTGTGCTGACTTCTGGGAACAGAAATATCTGGTTTTGTTGATGCACAGGGCAGAATAGTAAAGAGTTGACTGTCACAGTTAAATGGGCTATGCAATGCTGACCGAAATAGACTGGTGTGTGACCTAAGAGGATTTTATTCAGACATGGGGGAACAGATTTGAGCTGTGAAAACCTTCAATTTTATAATCATTTTTCTAACTGATTACATTAAATGACATTTGTTCATGATAATGTATTAAGATTTTACTATACTTGCCTCTGTTTGTCCCAGAGTTCCAGTTGCCATAACCTAGAAAAAGACCAAAAGGTGGTCAAAACCCAAGATTATATGGTAATGCCAGCTGTTCTAGCTAGAGCATAAGGAGAATCTATGCTATTTAAGATCTGACCATCAAATGCACCCAAATAAGCCAGACTGTATCACAGTGGATACTCCTAAAAAGAGATCAGAAAAACGTATATTACTCCGAAAGAATTCTGCACCTCTGAGCGTGTAGAATTCATGTCCCCCACAGATAAGGTTGGGGAAGCAAAGGGAAGTCTCAAGAGTGGTCATGTGTCTCTCCCCGGCAGCACAGCACCAAGAGCAGCCAGAAGAGAGGCAAATCGGGGGGAGGGGGGTGCCCTCCCATGAGCGTAGTTTAGGGAGGAGAGGGGGTATTGCTCCCTCAACAGAACCGATGGGGGCTGTGTGGGGTCACATGCCACTGCCTATTTCTGAGAGTGCAGAGCTGCCTGGATGATGGAGAGTGCCCCTCCCCGCTAGCTGACTCTGCCTCCTTGGTCCTGGTGCCAGTCATACCCCTCTTCTATCATAGAATATCAGGGTTGGAAGGGACCTCAGGAGGTCATCTAGTTCAACCCCCTGCTCAAAGCAGGACCAATCCCAAACTAAATCATCCCAGCCAGGGCTTTGTCAAGCCTGACCTTAAAAACCTCTAAGGAAGGAGATTCCACCTTAATGAAAAAGTTTTTCCTAATATCCAACCTAAACCTCCCGCACTGCAACTTGAGACCATTACTCCTCGTTCTGTCATCTGCTACCACTGAAAACAGTCTAGATCCCTCCTATTTGGAACCCCCTTTCAGGTACTTGAAAGCACCTATCAAATCCCGCCCTCATTCTTCTCTTCTGCAGACTAAACAATCCCAGTTCCCTCAGCCTCTCCGCGTAAGTCATGTGCTCCAGCCCCCTAATAGTTTTTGTTGCCCTCCGCTGGACTCTTTCCACATCCTTCTTGTAGCGTGAGGCACAAAACTGGACACAGTACTCCAGATGAGGCCTCACCAATGTTGAATAGAGGGGGAATGATCACGTCCCTCAATCTGCTGGCAATGCCCCTACTTATACAGCCGAAAATGCCGTTAGCCTTCTTGGCAACAAGGGCACACTGCTGGATGAGTCAACTTCTCATCCACTTTAACCCCAGGTCCTTTTCTGCAGAACTGCTGCCTAGCTATTCAGTCCCTAGTCTGTAGCAGTGCATGGGATTCTTCCGTCCTAAGTGCCGGACTTTGCATTTGTCCTTGTTGAACCTCATCAGATTTCTTTTGGCCCAATCCTCTAATTTGTCTAGGTCCCTCTGTATTCTATCCCTACCCTCCGTATCTACCACTCCTCCCAGTTTAGTGTCAGTTCTATGCGTGCTGGGAGCCATCCTGTTTTCCATACAATGGTGAGTGCCACTGGTGAGTCATTGGAAGGGTGGCTGAGGGGGGAAAAGAGGTAGTGGGGAAGAAAGGGGGACGGGATGTAGGAGTGAGGGGAGGGAGATAGGAGCAGTGGAGAAAGGGATAGGATGGGGAAGAGAAGCGGATGGGGGGGATCCTGGTGCTGGCAGCAGCTGAGGCTCCCCTATTAAGCAGGCCCATTGAACCCCCACTCTGACAAACCCCACACCCCTGCACCTGGACCACCCTGACGAGCCCTCCGCACCTGGACCCCCACTGAGTCCTAATCGGCTGCACCCAGACCCCCAAACCCAGCAAGTCCCACTCCCAGACCCCCTCGCTGAATCTCATCTCTCTCCACCTGGACCCCCCTGCAGAGTCCCATTGTCCCTGCATCTGGAACCTCCCTTGTGCATCCAGATCCTCCACTGAGCTTCCCCCACCCAGGGTGCCCCACACAAAACTCTCTTATCCCACATCTAGATCCACCTACACAAAGCCCTCCACAGTTGGACCCTGCTGGGCTGAGCCTGCCTGCCCACAACTGGTGCAGAGCCCAAGGGTGTTTCTGCAGCAGGCCCAGCCCTTGTGCTCTGCTAGGGTCAGGTGCAGCCTCACTGCAGAGTCCCTGTTCAATGGGTGGGGGGCCTACAGGGTGATCTCCCACCTCTGTGCAGCCAGTGGTCTGTGCTCACCACTGCTATGCTGGCGCCTCCACATTTATTTATTAACAAATAAAATTTGCAAAATTTTAAAAATATTGTGTGCAGCATTTTTATTTTCTTGGCGCAGAATTCCCTCAGGAGTACCATAACAACAACAAGTAGGAAACATGTTCTAGAGCAGTGGTTTTCAAATTTTTTTGCTGGCGACCCAGTTGAAGAAAATTGATGCCTGTGACCCAACGGAGCTGGAGGATGAGGGGTTTGGGAGGGGCTCAGGGCTGGGGCAGGAGTGCAGGCTGTGGGATGGGGCCAGGAACGAAGGGTTTGGGATGCAGGAGCGGGCTCTGGGTGTGTGGGAGGGCCTCAGGACTGGGGAAGGGGGTTGGGGTGTGGGAGGGGGTCAGGGCTCTGGGATGGGGGGTTTGGGTGGGGGCTCAGGGCTGGGGGCATGGGGTTGGAGCATGGGCTTACCTTGGGCAACTCCCAGTCAGTGGCATGGTGGGAGGGAGGGGGTTAAGGCAGGCTGGTCCCTACCTGTCCTTGCACTGCGGACCATGCTGCACCCTGAAAGTGTTCAGCAGCAGGTCCAGCTCCTAGGTGGAGTCGTGCAAGCAGCTCCATGTGGCTCTCACCGTAGGCATCACCCCCCAAGCTCCCACCTGGTGGTTCCCGGCCAATGGGAGCGTGGAGCTGGTGCTCGGGGTAGGGGCTGGACCTGCTGCTGGCCACTTCCGGTGGTCAGAACAGGTAGGGACTAGCCTGCCTTAGTCGGGCAGCACCGCCAACAGGACTTTTAATGGCCCAGTCAGTGGTGCTGACCAGAGCCACCGTGACCCATTATTGGGTCGCGACCCGCAGTCTGAAAACTACTGCTCTCGAGAGTAGTGTCCTTACTCATGAGTTTCTGTATAATGTTATTTTAATTCAAGCTTAAGTTTCTAGCACTTGTGTCTGAAAAGATACCCTTCCAACAGGAACTGGCGAGTTTTGTTTTTCAATATCTATAGAAAGATGCAGCTTGGAACAAAGGCTGTTATTTGCCCAAGGCCTAGATCACAGCAACATCTTGGACTGGAAGGGAAGGAATCACTCACTAGCAACTTGCTTTGCATCTGGTAATACAGTCTTAGGGATGGGATATGCTCTCCATTGCCTGTGCCCTCACTAGGGGCTTGTCTCCAGTACAAAATTTGTCATTTACTGATAGGTGCCATCATACCAGTGAAGAACATGGATTAGCTGCAATGGTAACCATGGCCAAAACAGTCAGCACCACTGGATTTTAACCAAAGTTTCTGAACCCCCACTGCCAAATCCCTAGTACACAAGAATCTCCCTGCTAGGTTAGGTTCGGCGTGAATCCCCTTATGTGGGCTCCCAAATTCCTATCCAGACCCAGAGTAGGACTACACTGGATCTGCTACACAGAGTGTCTGTTGCAGAGAAGGGAGCAGGACTGATCACCAAAAAAGTTGTGAGCCAGTAGCTTTTTAAAACTGGCATTATCGTCTCCTCTTAGAACCTAGAATACACAAGTTTCCTGACTAGTTTTAGCATTTTCCTACATCAGCAATAGTGCTGCATTTCTAGCCCTGCAAGAGGCTGACTGACATGCTTCTGTTTGATGCTTGATACAGAAAGGTGACTCCTCAAGATTACACACACCTCAATAGGTGCCACATACAAAGCAAGCTCACCTCTTGAAGTTACCATCAAGTCACTGAGAATTTTAGTTAGAAACTGGAAGACTTCACACTAGACGATACCAATTTTAAACAGACAACTCCATTCAAGAATGGAGTTACATAGAGATGTGTAGTCTTAGTTCTTCTAAAGATAAGGAACAGAGATATAATGCCTACTTCCAGTTCAAAGATAGGAGGGTTTTGCTTTACCTTTGCTTCTTGTACATGTCTGGGTATGTTTTAAGCCATTTTATATCAGAGATACAGAAGTTAATACAGAACGTATTAAGCTGTAAGTCATGCCTCCTGTATATGCAAAACATTTACGTAGAATCCTTTACCAAAGAATCATTTAACCACAGATATATGAACAGATAATGGAATCTTATTAACTTTTCTGCTAATCGAATCACCTGTACAGAGAAACTGAATGACTATAAACATAATATACTGCAGGAAAGGGAACAGAAGGGCAACCAACAACTCAAGTTACAACAGGGCTAAACTCTAGCCTAGACATACCTTAAGTATCAACCAAAGTTATATTTCTGGAAGATTTGAGTAGAACCTGGATATAGGGCCAGGTCCATCATCCATCCCAACACCACACTCCACTCATTTCACAAGGCCAGAAACATCAAAAAGTAACTGTATTAGATGAAGACTGGTGAATTAAGTGCAGGAACCCCAGTCTGGTCTCATTACACCTCTGACCACACACTTTTGCACACAAAAAGAAAAGGAGTACTTGTGGCACCTTAGAGACTAACCAATTTATTTGAGCATGAGCTTTCGTGAGCTACAGCTCACTTCATCAGATGTATACCATGGAAACTGCAGCAGACTTTATATATACACAGAGAATATGAAACAATACCTCCTCCCACCCCACTGTCCTGCTGATGAAGTGAGCTGTAGCTCACGAAAGCTCATGCTCAATTAATTGGTTAGTCTCTAAGGTGCCACAAGAACTCCTTTTCTTTTTGCGAATACAGACTAACACGGCTGTTCCTCTGAAACCTGTCATTTTGCACACAAGTAATTGTATCAGCATACTCTTCCTGCTCCGTCTGTGTTCGTAGCTGGCAATTTCTGGCACCCAATTCCCAAAGTCAACCAATTTCTTCTGTTATGCCACATTCATCTAGCTTCAAAGTCTGCACACATTCTTCCAGGGCTGAGCTATTTAGTTGTTTTTTTTGGTTTTTTAATTTTAATATGGGCATCTATTTTGCAATGGATACTCATCACATAAATGTGTTTTCTAGATGAACAATGAAAAAAAGTATGTATATCGAGCCATTACTATGTTCTACCCCTACCCCCACCTCCTCCTCAAGAAATAATCCTATAATCCATACAAGCATTAACACAGACCTCAGATTAAGGCTTTTAATTCCACAAAAATGAAAACGGAGAAAGCCTCAAGTAACATATATTCTTAATATTTGCAACAGCCTACAAGGTTGCAGTCAAGGAGTACATCCTGAAAACCTTCATCTCCCAATATAAAATGCATTCTTGTTTTGAGGAGGGCTACATGCTTCACATCACTTTTACCCTATTTCTACAAAAATAAGACTTTCCCTACAAACTGTATAATAGACAAGCAAAACTTCTATAGTTCCTTCCAATATACACCACATCAAAGCTCTTTACCATACTACTTAATAGGGATTCTTAACTTTTATCCACTGATGACCCCCCAAACCAACCACTTCTCCTTCTGTAATGCCACATCCCAGAACCTTTTGTGCTGTTTCAGCAATGAAAAGAGCTAGCAGTTTGCTTTTGCAAGTTCTTTCACCTATGGTAGAGAGGGGAGGGCACCCAGAGCCACAGGGGCAGGGGAACACACTCAGAACCCCCAGTTTGAGGGTGGGTTGCAGAGACTAAAATAGAGGAGGATGTGAGGGTGGCATTCAGGGAACTTGTGGGGGAGAAAGAGGGATACAATCAGCTGCAGGTGCATGTTATGAGCTGGACATTCAGAAGCAACAAATTCTATGACCCTCTAGTTATGTTATGGATGACTGAAATCAGTTATTACAGTCAATGCATGTGAACTCAATCATTTAATATTTAAAAATACATCAAGCAAAAACTGTTCATAACATTTTCCATAAGAAAGTACAACTTTCCCCTACAAGATAGATTCAGTTCAGAAGGTTCTTCACAACCATAACAAATGTAAACAGTTTTTACATTAAGCCTTAGAGTCTGTAGAAAATGATAGCAGTTCCATGACCCTATGGTTGAGAATCCTTGCCATACCTGCACAGCATTGAACAGGCTGCCACCTTGGGGAAGAAAGGGAGCAATACAGTGGCCAGCTATCACAGTGCACAGTTGAGGATGGGTCTTGATAAGTGAGAGATTTTCTCCACTGATCAAGGTGAACCCCTTATATTTAGACACAAAAGTGTCAAGCAAAGCAGGAGTTACAAACCCAATTATACTATTAATTTGTCCAAATTGCACACATTGTATTGGAAGGTAACGTTCTGAACATTCCACATACAATTGAGTAGACCAGAATAAGGCAAATTTCATAGCTAGATTAATAGTCTTTTAGCAGTACAGTATTATTGAATCTAAGCTCTAAGGTTAGTACTTTCCCTGCCTCCCCCCACAACCTCTCTCATTTTATTTAATGCAAAACGTGTAACCCAGCACCCAAAGGCAGTTAATTGCAACCACACTGAGGAAGAAAAAAAATCTCAAACCTGTAGCAAAAAGCAGCAAAGCTGCAAATTCTGGGCTACCAGCCGAATACCTGAGACTCTCAAAGGACAACTTCAACTACCCTTTCCTTTGTTTCAACAGAGGGTAGGAAAAGCAGGGATTGATGCCCCCTCTCATATGCAGAATCCCACATGCCTTGTCACCCTAGCTGGGTATAAATCTCAATTTCTCTCTCCCGAGCTCATCAGATGCAGGGGGAAGGGAAGAATCTGTGCCAGCTTTATCCTGCTTATTCCCCCACCCTCCCCGAGCTCATCAGCCAGGGATATTGGTGCCAACTTCTTCTTCTTGCTTATTACATGCCCTCCAAAGCCCATGCAATGGTGTGAGGGAGAAAGGAGAGAAGATATCACCATCACCTTCTCCACCCTTATTATACCCAATTCCTTCAAGCAATGGTGAGTGTATGTGAGGAAGCAGTGTAAATTCTTTCCCTCATCCATCATTGCCAAGTGACAGTAAGGTAAGGGTATAATCAATTCCACCTTTACCCTCACAGTATCCAAAACTCACAACTGACAGAATATTACCAGTGCAGGTTTTCCCCTCCCTCATTATTTATTACACACATACTCACACCAATGCAATGCTGCATACAAGGGGAAACAACGTCAGCTTCTACTCTAATTATACCCCCATCACCAGAGGCCCATTCAATGTTGCGTATGTATGCGTGTGTGTGTCAGTGCCAGACACACACCCACCCCAAACTCCATAACACACTGCGTGGTGGAGATAATGCGTGTATGGGGAGTATCAGGCCCCCTGTAATGCTGTGTGGTAGGGGGAGGGGATCAGTGCCCCACTAGGCCCCACGCTGTGCAATAGGGGGACAGGGTCAGAACCAACACCCCACCAGGCCCCGCACCAGCCCCCCACCAGGCCCCACACGGTGCCATGCGCCAGAGGGTCAGAGACAGTGCTGATCTCCGTGCTGTGCCATGCCATGCAGCAGGGGGTCAGGACCAGTGCCAGCCCTCCTCCCCCTTGGAGCCCGTGCTAACCCCCATACCATGCCATGCAGCAGGGGGGTCAGGGCCAGTGCCACCCGCATGCCATGCCGTGCAACAGGGGATCGGGATCGGGATCAGGGCCAGCCCCACCCCAAGGCCCCAGGCCATGTTTGCGGTAGGCTGTCAGGGTCCGCCAGCTCCAACCCCTTCAGGCCCCGTGCCATGCAGTAGGGGGTCGGGGTCAGTGGCGGCGGCCCCCCCCTGCAGATCTAGGACAGCTCTGTGCTAGGGGGCCGGGGTCAGAACCGGCCGGGCCCCCGCAAGCCCCATGCTCATGCGGCGGGTGGAAAGCGACGGTCAGGTCCCCACCCGCCGTCCCCCCAGCCCCACGGCGGAGGCGGTGCGCAATAAGGAGCGAGCTCCTGGGCCAGCCCTTCGCCCGCGTCCAGGCCCGCCCCGGGGCGCCGAGGGCACGGGGAGAGCTCGGAGCAAGGCCCGCAGGCAGGGACGGGGGAGGAGGGGCAGCGCAGAACCCCCCTCACAGACGGGGGCAGCCGGCCCCCTCCCCGAGAGCCCGGCCCCGGCAGCCTCTCACCTGAGTAGCTCATGACAGCAGCTCCACGTCCCACGCTCACCTCACACGCTCACCCCGGCCCGCGGCTGCCTCCTGCGACAGACGGTAACGGCAGCTGTCCAGCCCCGCCTCCCGACCGCATTGGACGCGCTGCTCCGCCCACCTGCAAGTCATTGGTGGCCGGGCCTGCCACGCACCGCCTCCCTCCCTGTCCACCAGAGAAGTTTCCCGCTGTGCTCTGTTGCCATTAGAATAAAAAAGCCGTCAATCAAAATCACTCTTACTTTCCATAGGGTGGACAAATGTCAATCAAGAACCTCTTCAAATACGAAAGGCGGACATTAACGTCAATCGAAATGATTTTAACAGCTCATTGGTCACGCTATTTGTCAGTCATTAAACGGCAAAGCAGAGCAGTGACGCCCGTCTGGGCTCCAGGCAGACGAGAAGGAGGGAGTGGTTGACACCCGGCGCTGTGGCACGCCCTAGAAACCAGATGAGTCCTGAAGAGAGAAGTCACAAAATCCCAGAAGCTACAGGATAAATACCACGAGCCGTATAGCAGGGCACACCGGAGAGATGGCAAACTGAATTAAATATAATGATAATCTGGCAACACAGGCAGAGGATGCAGCTGCTCCTGGTGAACAAGGAGCCATCTGCAAAATGACCCGGCTTAACAGCAGTAAACGACAGACACCAACAAACACTCTCATCAAAAACAAACAAGGACACCTCCTAACAACTGAAAAAGAACAAGAAATGCGCTGGACAGAGCATTTCAAAGAACTCCTGACCGGAGAGCCACCTAAAGAGGAAGCAAACATCAAGGAGGCAAAGAAGATCTAGATATCAACACAGACATCCCAACTAAGGAAGAGATCATTCAAGCCATCAAATCCTTAAAAAATGGGCAAGCTCCTGGCAAGGAAAACTTGAATGCAGAATTGTTCAAGGTAAATCCTAAATTAGCAACATCTATCCTGGCCCCTCAATTTACATCAGTCTGGGAAAGGGAAAAAGTGCCAGATGTGTGGACCAATGGGGTTACAGTGCAGATACCAAAGAAAGGAACTCTCAGTGATTGTAATAATATCACACTTTTATCTGTGCTAAGCAAAGTATTGCGTAAGATCATAGTCCAGCGTATATCAGAGGCAGTTGATAGCATTCTCAGAAAAGAGCAAACTGGTTTTTGGAAAGGACATGGATGTACAGACCAGATCTTCACTCTACAAAACATAATAGAAGAGTGCTTAGAATGGCAACGGCAACTCTACATAAAGTTCATAGAATTTGAGAAGGTTTTTGATAGCATTCACAGAACCAGCCTATGGCACATTCTGCAGGCATTTGGAATTCCTTTCCATATAATCAACGTCATCAAAAGCTTCTATTTCAACTTTACATGCAGTGTTGATCACAGTGTGCTCAGTGTTGAATTCAAAACAGGAGTACGTCAGGGTGTGTCATGTCTGCAATCCTCTTTAACATTGCCATCGACTGGGTAATGCGATGTACAACAGAAGACATGCCAAGAGGCATTAAATGGACACTCTTCTCATCCCTTGAAGACGTGGACTTCACAGATGATGTCACTCTCCTATCACATACCCAACACCATATACAAGAGAAAACAACTCAACTCAACATATTCAATGATTCTATGATTCTATGAAACAGCCAGAAAATCGGACTGAAAATCAACTGCAATAAGGCAATCATGATCTTTAATATTGCCTCACCATCACCCGTACGGATAGAGGATTATGTTCTCACCAGTATAGAAACATTCACATACTTGAGCAACACCATCAGCCAGGATGGTGGAACAAGCCAGGACATCCGGAACAAAATCAATCAACTCAGGAACACCTTCAGGAGCTTAAATACAGTCTGGAAATCATCAAAATACAACACCAAAACCAAACTCAAGATTTATCAGAGCTGCGTACTTTCAACACTACTTTATAGTGCAGAATGCTGGGGAATGAGAAAGTATGACATGTCCAAACTGTCTTCATTCCACACAACTTACCTCAGAAAAATCCTCTGCATCTTTTGGCCCAGAACAATCTCCAACCAAGATCTTCTGACACAGTGCAACCAAGAGGATCTGAGTATCATCATTGCCTGGAGGCATTGGAGATGATCGGTTATGAGCTTCGGATGGAAATTGATTCCATCACCAGAGTAGCAATAAGATGGACACCTGAAGACAAGCGAAAACAAGTCCACCAAAAACAATATGGCGAAGAGCTGTGGAAGCTGCGCTGAAAAACCTGGGGCACAGCTGGGAAAGCATTGAAAGACTTTCCAGAAACAGACAGGAGTGGGGGAGCTTCGTCACTGCCCTAAACGTAACAGGCGTAATAGGAACATGATGATGATTGATGATGATGAAATGCCAAAGCAAGGAGGGGGGATTGGCTGAGATAACTGTCAATCAGGAGGCAGGGTCACAGGCAGTATCCTGCTCTCTGGTTGGTCAGAAGGAGGCAGGCTAGGCTGGCCTTAGCTGTACACAGACCCGCTTCACCTTAGGTACAATGGCAGCTCAGTGAGGTTGTGATGCTGCGGGCCCGTGTTAGGGCGGGGACCCAACCCAGGCTGGCTAGGCTACGGTGCCTCTGCAGGGATATGGGGCAGTGCAGCTGTCAAAGCCTCCCTGCCGGGCAGCCCGAGGCCCGAGCCAGGTTTCCAAGCTGTGGCACGCAGCTGGCTGGCCGGCCCATGAGGGTGGTGGCACCTTGCCCCTTGGGCGGGACACAGCGGAGTTAGCGCAACCTGTAGCTGCTGCACACTGAGGCATCTGCCCTGGAGCGGGGGCAGGATCCCCAGCGTGGCAGCCGCATCTGCACGATCAGGGACTGGGGCTGTGCTTGGGAGGGCACCACAGCAGCTGGGGGAGGCTTGGTGCCGCTCGCTGCGCTCCCCACGCGGCTTCCAATATACTGAGGAGTGGCCTGCATCAAGAGCAGGCCTGTCCTCCCTTCCTCCGCAGAGAGCCCCCCATAACCGGGCCTGGCCCTGCGTTCCCCTGCTGAACCAGCCGTGGGCCCCCCAGTCCTGCAGAGCCAACCATGGGCGTCCCGGTCCCACCTTCGCTGCTAAGCCACTGCTGGGCCCTGCAGACCTGTCTAAGCCCCACTGTCCGCCATCGATGGGCCCTGTGGACCTGGTCCCAGTCCCATCTTCCCCAATTGAGCCAGCTGTGGGCTGAACATACCCAGGCTACGGCCCCATCTTCCCCCACTTAGCCGTCAATGGGCCTTGCAGAGTGGGGTCCAGCCACCTGTTTCCCCGCCAAGCCAGAGATGGGTCCTGCAGACCAGGCCCTGACCCCAGTTTCATCCACGAAGCCATCAATGGGCCCCACATACCCAGACCCAGTCCTGCCTTCCCCCACCATACTATTGATGAGCCCCATGTACCCAGGCCCAGTCCTGCTTTTCCCCACCAAGCCATCAGTGGGCCCTGCAAACCTGGCCCTGGCCGAGCTTTCCCCTGCCGAACCATCCATGGGCCATGCAGACACAGACCTGGCCCTGCTTTCCCCTGCCAAGCGATCGATGGGCCCCAGATACTCACACCCAGTTCCGCCTTCCCCCACCAAGCAATCAATGGGGCCCACATACCCAAACCAAGTCCTACTTTCCCACATCAAGCCATTGATAGGAGTGGTCCTGCTTTGAGCAGGGGGTTGGACTAGATGACCTCCTGAGGTCCCTTCCAACCCTGAGATTCTATGATTCTATGCTCCCTCCCACACGCAGGGCAGAGACCAAACCAAGGGTGGCTCCTTGTTCAGAGGGGTAACCTGAAGGGAAAGACAGGCTGAGAGCTGGAGAACGAGAGAGACAAAAGCCAGGACTTTCAATGTCTTGGGAAGACTTACAGATTTCCCAGGACAGCTACTTAAAAAAATGGACAGTCCTGGACAGATGGCAACCCTAGCTCTGATTGAGCTAGCATGTAAAAAGAGCAGTATAGCTGTGGCAGGTCAGGTTAGCTGCCCCACGTACATACCCAAGGTTTCGGACGGGATTGTACTTGAGGCGGCTAACCAGACCCCTGCCCATGCAGCTGCAGCTACACTGCTTGGCACACATCTTCCTCTGCTGCCTCCCAGGGATCTGCTATGACTAGCAGCTCTTCTACCTCCATATGAAGGGTCTCCCGCAAGACCTCTATGAACTGCCAGTCTTTTACCACGACCGGGAAGCTAGTCTTGGTGACCAGGTCTGCGGTGACCACCGAGGGGGAGGACCTCCTTACGGAGCCGTTGGTACACAACCCCCATCTCGGTATGCAGGTGGTGGAGTCCCCCGCGGTGCACTGGAGGTTGGTCCTGGCTGGTATCACCAGGATTGGAGATCCAGGAGACTACAACCGGAGGGACTGGGTGGACCTCCGGGTGCCCAGCCGGCACATGGGGCTCTCCACCCCTTGCATCCCCCAGTGTATACTCCAGGAGGTGAGGGCAGCCTTACTACCTGCCTCTCGTGCTTTTCTTGAGCGGGCCCTGCGGGAGGGTGCTCTCTGTCCACCCCTCACCTCTGGCCCTCCAGACCTCACCACCCTGTCCCACGAGGCCTCCCTGCTGCACCACCTGAGCAGGCTGTGTGACCTGTGAACTGCGTCCAGGAAACAGCTGCTCCGCACCCATCACTTCCTCACCCTCATGTCTCACCCCCACACCCGGGACCTCCTACCATCCACGGAAGGTGAGGAACACCAGTGGGCCAGTTTGTATTCCATCTTGGTCCCGCTGCCCACCCGGGATATTAGTTGGCAGCTCATTCATAGAGCCCTGAGCACAGGTGTGGTTCACCACCTCCCCTGACACCTGCTCCTTCTGCGTTGAGTGGGAGATCCTGGCGAACATCTACCTTGAGTGTGCCAGATTGCAGCCCCTTTTCTGGCTCCTCCAGAACCTCCTCCTCACATTCTAGCCATACTTTCCCCCTCATTTCCTGATATTTGCATGCCCCACCTGTGGCCAGGGCCGTCCTTAGGATTTATGAGGCCCCTATGCAGTATTATTAAACTGGTGCCCCTACGCTCCACTGAAGGCGGTCCCCAGCTGGTGACACTGACCCCAGTGTGTCGAGGGAGCACAGACACCCTGCCTGCGGGCCCCCAGAACCCTCCCCCCCA